ACTCAAAAAGAGCCTACAAATGCCCACAAAAAGCAACTGTATTTGTCAAAATCACAGTCTGCAGGAGACAGTCACATCCAAGAAAGCTTGTACAGGGACCTGGTTACAATCTCTTCTGCCTCCCAAATAAAGCCTGGATGTTCTGTGTACGACTTTGACACTAGCATGGCAATGAACTACCCTGTAAATAACCAGGCAGGGATGCTTGTGATAAAGAGGAGGGATCCAGTTAGAGACCAGCCAACAACAGAGCAGGTTCTATCCCTCCATCTACCACTGAAATGTCTGAACAACCCAGCTGCACCTTTCACTGAAGTTTTAAGTTCTCATTTTAGCACTATCCTTATCAGCTAAACACAGGTAGCCTTAGGAAGTTGCCCTTGGGAAGTCAAAATGAGAAGGACAAATGGTCTTTGTCTGTCATAAACTTCAAAGGATTCCTCTTTCATGACTTCTTCCAATCTCCCTTAAAAGTGGACCCATTTTAGCATCTGTAGCACCCACCAATGATGAGCTCTACTGAGCAACTACCTACTGCAGATGGCTACAGTCACCTTTTGTTCATTTTATGTCCTCCTAATTCTTGTACTGGAAGAGACAGTGAACAGTGGAGCTCTGCCCTTTCTTTACTTGCAAGTCATTTCCATTCTAGTGGTCCCTTTTTCCAGAGACAAAAGTCCTAGTTTATTCAATCATTCCTTATATGAAATCAATGCAGACTTATGACCATCCATGTTGCCCACCTCTGAATCTTTTCCAGTTCTTCTGAATCTTTCCTAAGATTTTGGAAGGAGAAAAACCAGAACAACACGTAACATACAAATTTACACAACAATCTACTAATGGCCTCTATTTTCCTCTGTTTGGCTTCCCTTATAATTTATAGTATTTAATTTGCTTTATTTAATTACTGAGCCTGGCACTAATATTTTTAGCTCAATCATCCAACTGAGGTTTTGGCTCTACTGGTTTTCAAAAGTAGACTTTCTTGTACTTGAGAAATATAGAGAATCACCCATGGGCAAGAAACCAACTACATGATTTTGTGGGAAATTTGTGAAAAGCTGCAGCAGTACCTGCTTCACGAACTTCATCACCTTATGAAACAGACAATAGGAAAGGAAAGGTAAGATCAATAAATTGCTGTGTTTGGAACACTGAGCAATTTTAGGCTGTTTAAATGCAATAAATCAAAGTTCAGTAGCTTGGGAAAAAAATCTAGTGCTTTGGAGAAGGTCATACAAACCTGACAACCTCAGGCAGGAAAAAACTTTATACCCACAAGCCAGACAGGTCAGAGGGAGACAAGCATACCCTGGACAGAGTAAAAGCAGAAGGGCAGGCAGCAGGAGGCATCCTTCAAAGCCTTGAATGATGAAACTTCTGACACTGTAAGGCTGGAAGAAAATAATATAATACTTCAAAGAAGAACCAATTATGACAGCAATGGGAGCTGAGGTTATCTCACAGTATCACTGTTGGTATCCCCACAATGCACGGCCTGTGATACCTAAAAATGCTTGTGATGCACCCCAACTTCTAAGCCCTTTGACCATCAGTTGCTGATAACCTTTTACTCCCCCTTTAGTTTTATCTAATGAGTGCACAAAATGGAGCTGGCAGCAGGACAGTCTTTCAACAATATACAATTATTGAAATGCCTACAGCAGCCAGATTACTATCTTCTACATGTATTTCAGAAGCTCATAAAGCATCAGGGAAATGGGGGAAAAGTCTGGCAAGTTTATGTGTCAGTGGGATATAATGCTTGGAACAGCAACTGCAGAAATGCAAGGCTGTGTAATCCTGACTGGTACCCTCCATGGGCGAGGGAAAGCAGGAAAGCCTCTGCCTTCTTGGTCAAGTGCTGCACAACAGGCTGCCAGTCTGGGGGCTGCAGCCAGAGAGGTGGTAACACCCTTCAGCAAACCACTGCTGACCCTAGCTGCAGGTATCCCAGCAAAAGCAAGGACTAAGAACTACTCTCTTGAGGTGCCAGACTGCTTCATTTGATACTCCGAAGATATAAACCCCAAATCATCCTACAGACATCACCCCCAGACCCAGGAGTAAAAGCTATCTCATGGGCCTGGTGAGCAGTAAGTACAGGCAACCATAGGAGCACCCAGCACAACATGACTAAGATCTTGATGGGATGCCACTGTAATACAAATAAAAGAGCCCATGAGTAATCAGCACTGCTGAAAAGAGGGTCCCTGGCAGCTGGGGCTGTTTCTATAATACTGCACATGCATTCTTTCACAAAAATATCGTAGGTGCATTGACCTATGAGAAAATCAACAGGAAGAAATCCTGCTTGCTGCCACTCACTCTTCAAGCCAAGAGGGGCTCAGGAAAGAGTACCAAACCTGAGTAGGAGGCTGGAGGAAAGGATTTAAGAGAGAAGTCAGTAATACTTCTTAGCTTTTACAATGTACTATTGATCTGCTGTCTACAGCAATGGCTAAGCCTTCTTGAAGCAGAGGACACAAGAAGTGAAGATAAAGAGCTACACATCCATGGAGCACAGGAGATGGCATACAAGGCCTGTGTCTCACTTCTGACCCAAGGACTAGAAAAACTTCTTTAACCTGGACGAGCACATATGGGAGCTACACCACAGCCTAAACAGGGCACACAGCCCACACCTCACAGGAGGAAGAGTTAAACACTTCCAGCAAGGTGGAACAGTACCTAAGAAAAGAATGCAAAAGCCAGAGGCTGGGAAGATAGAGGGGAACTTAATGAGCTACACTAGGATTAGAAAAAATAGTTAATAGAGGAGATTGAAAAGACTATCTTGGAAGAATCTTGGGGGAGGGAGAGGGGTTGAACTGAGGATCCATCTCTTCGGAAATAATAGAAGTCTCCTTGGTTGGAACAGCTCAGTGCAGACTGCCCTGACACAACTAAATAAACAGTACACAGAGCCACTGATGAGACAGCTGATCTTTTTAATCAGAATTCAGCAGATTAGATACAGCTGATGTTTTCTCACTTGGCTCCCCTCCAAAGAGCCATATACACCTTGTTTGATAGTTATCACAAACCATATTTCAGAGAGGGTGGACAGCAAAAATTTCCTGGAGTTTATCTGGCTGCATCTTTAAGGAGATTGTTACCAGATAATCATAATCTTTTTCACAGCATTAGGAAAGTACACAAAGGATCACCTTCTGTCACCCCTGACAAACTACATCTGGATTATGGGAAGGGAAATACTCACAGGAATTCTGAAAATAATCTCACCTCAACCTCCCCATCATGATATCACGAAGTGAAAACCTCCTTCCAATCATGGCCAGGACTTCAAGGTTAACAGCCATACCAGGACCATAGCATCGATCACCTGCAGTCCTGGAGGAGTTCAGTTTTCACTGTCTCCAAAACAGCCAAAGCCTGTAGGCACAACTATGGCACCAAAGTCTGGATTCATAATCCAGATGACATACTGCTCTGGAAGAGGTAATTCCAAAGACTCAAGTCTAGTGGTTCCTAGTGAACAGTTATGTGAAGTGCTTTTATAAGCAGCTGGACATAATAGATTTTAAAGTATTACCTTACTCAAAAGCATCTTGAAAATCATCAGCCTGGGCTTCCAGCTTTGCTCTTTCATGTACCTTCATAAAGACCTACTTCAGTTACCTGGTTTTAAAACTGCAGCTTAATTCTGAGAATCAAGTTGTGTGCTTTCCTCCTTTTGCACAACCATCTAAAGCAAAGCAAATACTCTGCCAGCCGTGTCAGTCTTCGTGAGATTTCTGTCTTATGCCTTCAACACCAAAACTATCACATGGTCTTCAGAAGATTTATGTAACTAAAGGTGACCATTTTTAGCAGAACTAAGAGAAAGACATAAAAATTTCCAGCACAAGCGGGCGACAGCTCTACCACGTGCAGAGCTGTTACTTCTTTCTTAAGTGAGATGAACTTGTAAGGTACAGAGACTGAATTCAAAGTCTGCAGACCACCTTAGGAAACAATGAAATCATAGCTTCTTCTCAAGAAAGAATGAGCCACAATCACCCCAGCACCAGGTCAGGAAGAGGTTGTCACAGAGCAAGAAAGTATTAGATGGTGACCAAGTTATAAAAGTTCTGTATCCCCAACACTAAGCCAGACACTGAAGGAAGAACAACAGGGGACCTTCAACTAAAATATAATTTACAAAATGTTAATGGCAGATATGTAACAGAACTGTGTGACATTCATACTTTCACTGCTATGCCTCGAGTCCATTTTACAGAAACCTGTCAAATGCAATCAGACTTGTTTATTCTCATTTAAATGTAAGACCTGAGGCAGTCTGGTTTCAAGAAAGACAGAAAAGGCACATATTGTCCCTGGCAGTTGCTTAGTTTTTATTACAAAGGCAATGCTTTGTTCACTCTTTATTCCAAATAAAAATTATTTCAATGCTCTGTTGCGTTGCAATCTTGAGAATATTTCTGCTTGCTGCCTTAGCACAGGTAGAAAAATAATTAAAATGTAAATTAAAGGAAGAAATATAGAAACAAAGTGCCATTAACACACAACTCACTGCTTCCCCCACCCCAAATCAGGTGATTCATACACAGCATCCTCCAAACCTCACGTAAGCCACTGTTAATGGATTAAGTGGCAGTGTCCCTTCTGGCTTCAGTTTATAAATTCTTATCTGCTTAAGGTTGCTCCAGAAAGACTTCCAGCTGACAGCATGATTCTTAAAGAGACAAATCCTCCCTGGCAGTTTACAATTGCATACCAACAACTACGGCATTGCGTGTGCCTTCATGTTTGCCCTGATAGAGGATGATGGTTCAGTGTTTCAGATTCAGCATCCCCCTCCTTTCATGTCTAATTTGAAGCACGACCATTGCTTGGGCTGAGTTTCTCACTGACTTTGTCGGCAACAGAGCGATGAGCATTCCTAACATCTCCTTGCATGGCCACTGAAACAGCCATGATAAAACCACCCCAGTTCACACAACTGCTCCAAATCTCCCAAGTACAGACAGAGGGGCCAGAGAGATTCAGCAGAAGAATAATGTAAGTATCAGAAAATCCTTCCCTATAACAACCAGTTGCCCAGCTCATCATTAACCATTTCCACTCCTCTAGACCATGACAAAGAAGTATCCAAAAGCCCAGCAAAAAATGAGCAGCAGCATCCCTATTTTCCATGCTGGTGGCTGCAAATTCTGCAACACATAGAGGAAGCTGCAACAAGTTATAATCTGAAATGGCTGTTAGAGCAGGACCTTCCCTCATTCCCTGCTTAGGGAGAGATGTGTGACATCCTCTGCCCCCATTAGCAAGTGCCTTTGGCTGTGAAAATGACCTTAGAGAGGAGGTACCCAGGTAGTGCTGAACACACACAGCATGTGTGTACTGCTGCCCGAGAAAATTGCATTCATGAATGATGAGCTATTTTCTGCTACCACTCTCCCAACTTACAGCAAAAGGGGGTAAAAAAGAGCAGAGATAGAGGAGACCTTTGACAGGCTCTCCTGGTGCCAACAGGTCCCCAGGAGTTCAGAAAAAGGATGACATCCTTATGAGGAACAGAACAGCCATATAAGCTAGACAAGGAACCCCAAATACTCCCTGCCGTCCTCCAAACAGGACTGACCGTCCCTTGCACACACACATTCATGGAGCCCTCAGAAAGGACACCAAAGCAAAGCCTTCACTCACCAATAAGCACTTGGGGACTCTTAGTGCTTAGTCCCCCATATTTCTGCCTGTTGCTTTCCTGGGGTGCCTTTGCCTGGAAGGACCCGTGTATTCATCAGCCCCCCATGAGGCACTGCTGGGGAAGAAGTGAAAATGCTGCGAGCAGGGCAGGGGGGCTCACACCGCGAGAGGGCTCGGGGTGCCAGGCATGGATCCATCCTAGCCCGGGGAGCACAGCCTGCCCAGCGTGTCCGGGATGCCTGCCTGGCGCGGATGCCATGTGTACCCAGGGATCTAATCCCAAACCGGGGTCCCTGCGGTACCCAGGATTTGCGTCCTGCCCGGGTGCCCATCCGATCCCGAGGTGTCCGGAGCACCCATCCCGCTCCGGGCTGCCTCAGGTGCCCCGGGATACGGCCTGTGCCGCCCTCAGGGGGATGCTCAGGGTGCTGGGAATGCCGGGGGCGCTCGGGGTGCCGCGGGTGCCGACCGAGCCGTACCTTTGAGGCGGTGGTGGCGGGCGCGGTGCAGGCGGCCCTGGCCGCCGCGGGTCAGCGCGGGGATGCTGGAGAAGCGGCTCCCCATGGCGGCATCCGAGCCGGGCCGGGCCGGGCGGCACCGCGCAAGGTCTCCCTCCCCGGGGGCTGTGGCGGCGAGGGCGGAGGGCAGCGGCGGCTCCGAGGGCGCCGACAGCCGCGGTCCCGCCCGCCGGGCCCCCCGCCCCGCTCGGCTCGGCTCGGCTCGGCTCGGCTCGGCTCGG